TGGATATACTAAAAACAATAAAATAATTAAAATTTACTCTGAATCTTATTGTCTTTTCTTATCAGTTAAATAATGCAGGGATTAAATAGTGCTTCATTTTTTTTTCTTCTCAACAACTGAGATAAAATAACTTTACAAGAAAACTAAGTTTTTATTTGTTAAACAGAATTTTATTTAGGTTGCAGAAGGTACTCTTTGGATAAGTAATTATGTTTAGGAACTTAGGTCTTTTTCATACAAGTTTCTGAGGTAGAGATCTTCATTCATATTTCTAAATGTATAACAAGTGCTATTGAGTGTGAAAAGGGGGCTTTGTTTTTCATTTACTGTTTATAGTTTTTTTTTTTTTTTTTTTTTTTTTTTTTCAAAATAAAAAAAAAAAAAAAAAAATCTTTTCGCTCAATAGCTGTTTTTTATACATCCCCAGCCCTTTTTGTTTGTTACTAGTAGCAGACATGGTATTACTTTGTCTGGTATTTGAATCATCTTCCAGGTATGAATTACAGTTTCTTTATTTTATTGATAGATGGAGAAATGGAAATTCGGAGTAGTTAAATAATTTTCTCAGGTTATAAAACTAGTAAAAAACATACCTAGGATTTGAAACCAGGCAATTTTATTAGAGTGCTGCTATATTTATTGGTAGGTACTATATCATTTAACCCAATGATTGATTGATTGATCCTGTAACATGTATACACACTTTAAGATGTTGGATGCTACTCTAAAATGCAAAGTTGTGTTCCTTCTCAAGATTATATGGTTTCTAAGTTTCACTTTTCCTTTTATGTGATTTAGTTAAAATCATTTTATACTTTTGTCATTTAGAGATACTTTTCTTACGTGTGTGTGTGTGTGTGTATGTTCAACAGAACCTACAGTTTTTTGTTTTTTTTAGTAAATTTTAGTGTAAGAATTATATCACATCATTGATTGTGAAGCCCTTTAAACAAACAGGCTATGTTACTTTAAACAAAACACATCCTCTCAATTGTTTAGGATAGATATCTCAGTAGAAAAATATGTATGCTAATCAAATCTTTAATTCTTGTTATAACAATTTAAAATGTTTTGGTATCTTTAAAGATATTAGTGTTGATTGACTTAGATGCACTTACAAATTTTTCTAAGATATTCTCATCTGTAGGCATGACTTTTCTAAATGTATTTTTAAAGTATTCTATGTAATATCTTTATTAGCACAATCATATTAAATGATAGCTTCTTACCCTTGATCATGCAAACAAGATCGTCAAACTGATTGGAGCATAATTCAAATATGGAAAACAATTTTCTTCTGATATTTAATCCCTGCTGGATAGCTTTTTTACTATATATATATTTAAGTTGTACTATGTGCTGTGCTGATATAAATATACAAAATGAAATAATTATTGAAGTTAAGCAAATTAGCCTGCCTTTCACTCTCCATAGTTACCTTTTTTATATGTGTGGTAAAAACATCTAAAATCTGTTCTTTTAGCAAAATTTCAGTGTCCAATATTGTAAGTAAAATGTTCATGCCATACATTAGATCTCTAGACTTCCTCAGACTACCTAACTACAAGTGTCTGTTCTTTGGATTATTGAATTTTCTTTCCCCATCTCCTCCCCTCCCTGCTCCTGGTAACTACTTGTCCCTATTCTACTACGATTTCTCTTTCTGAGTAGTAGGCTTTTCTTTTCTTTTTCTTTTTTTAAAAAAAAGTCTGTACTGTCATATAAATGAGATCATAAAGAATTTTCCTTTCTCTGCCTTGCTGTTTTCATTTGACCTAAGGTCTTCTAGGTTCATCCGTGTAGTCACAAGTAGCTGGGGTTTTGTTTTTGGTACTGGGATTAAACCTAGGGCTTGAATATGCCAGAGACGTGCCCTTTACTGAGCTATAGCCCATGATTCTACCTTTTTAAGGCAGAATTCTCTCTCTCTCTCTCTCTCTCTCTCTCTGACTGTAAATGGAATAATTTTCTTGATTTCCTTTTCAGATAATTCATTAATGGTGTAGAAAAAGTCACCTGTTGTTGTGTAGTGATGTTTATATTCTATTTTATTGAATTTATTGATTAGCTTCAATAATTTTTTTGTGAAGTTTTTAGGCCTTTCTGTGTTGGCATTTGCTGTCTGGCTGCTCCACACAGCATTTCCGGTACCATGCTGAGGAGATAATTAAGAATAGGCAGCGTTGGTTGAACCAGACCCTAGAGGAAAAGCTTTCAGCTTTTCTCTATCAGTTATGAGGTTAGTTCCAGGCTTTTAATAAACAATTTTCATTGTATTGAGGAAATATCCTTCCATAATTATTTTAAAGTATTTCATGAAAGGGTGCTGAGCTTTTTCAAATGCTGCTTTTTTTTTCAAAGTGATATATTCTGGGACCTCCATCATTGCTCATTTTGCTCAATATTGTTTTGACTCTTCAGGGACTTTTGTGTTTCCACATGAATCTTAGGATTATTTTTTCTATTTCTGAAAAGAATGTCAGTAGAATGTTATTGGAATTGCATTGA